GCAGAGGCAGGTCCTCTTTTGTTATGACATGTTATGTTATCTGACATAAATGTCACTTCATTGGGCCGGGCCATGTGTGCCATAAAACGTAACGCCAGGTACCAGAAATATAAACTTTATAAAGCAACTGGTAAGCTCCAAGTTGGTGTATCCTCACTGCAAGGCCCCATGGGCTGGGAGTGGGGTGCAGAGCCAGTTTGGTGTAGTGGTTAAGTGTACGGGCTCTAATCTGGGAGACCCGGGTTTGATTCCCCACTCCTCCACTTGCAAGCCATAGTTCTGACAAGAGCTGTCCTTCAAAGAGCAGTTCTTGAAAGAGCTCTCTCAGCCCCACCTACCTCACAGGGTGTCTGTTGTGAGGAGGGGAAGGGGAAGGAGTTTGTAAGCTGCTCTGAGACTCTGAGTGAAGGGCGGGGTATGAATCCAATCTCCTCCTCCTCCTGTGCCCTCCCTTGCAACAGTTGCTCACGGGCCATGTAACAGCCCTGGACGGGCCAGTTCCAGCCCTCGGGCCTTGTGTTTGACACCCCTGGAATATGGGGTCTTCTTATATCTTCTTTCCGAAAGCCTGGATGGCACAGCGTCACATCTGGCCAGTGTGAAAGCCCTCCTATGAGGGGGGAAATCTAAAATTTTAAGATATCGGTCCATTGTCATTTACGGAGACGCCATAAGTCGGCTGCAACATGAAAGGCGCTTCCCACCACCATTTGGTACGAAACCACGGGCCTATATCCTTGTCCTTTCCCGTAGCACCAGCCCGGTTTTTCAGTCGGTGGGGAAGCTATGACAACGTCCCATGTGCAGGTTTCTAGACAGCTGTCATTCTCCAGAGCCGAACCTTTCCCCCAGGATTGTCAGCAGTTAAAACATTACATGTGGGGGGAACACATCATTCCAGTTTGTTGTGGTGGTTAAGTGGTGTAGTGGTTAGGTCTGTGGACTCTAATCTGGGAGAACTGGGTTTGATTCCCCACTCCTCCACTTGCAGCTGCTGGATGACCTTGGGCAAGCCGTAGTTCTTCTTCCTGGACATTCGTGGCACAGAAAAGGAAGGCTGTCGCTGGGGTCGTCTACTCTGGCTTGGGAAATTCCTGGAGATTCTGGGGTGGTTCCTGGGGAGGAAGCCCCGCAGGGAGGTAATGTGGTAGAGTCCACCCTCTGAAGCTGCCAGGAGAACTGATCTCTTTAGTCTGGAGGATCAGGCATGGCTTTGTGGTAGACCATCTGCTTGGCAGGCAGAAGGTCCCAGGTTCAATCCCTGGCATCTCCAGTTAGAAGGACCAGGCAGGAGGGGACAGGAAAGACCTCAGCCTGAGCGCCTGGAGAGCCATGAAGTGGGGCTGTAGCTCAGTGGCACAGTGACTGCTTGGCATGCAGGAAGTCCCAGGTTCAATCCCCAGCATCTCCATTTAAAAGGACCAGGAAGCCAGTGATGGGAAAGACCTCTGCCTGAGACCCTGGAGAGCCATGAAGTGGGGCTGTAGCTCAGTGGAAGAGCTTCTGCTTGGCATGCAGAAGGTCCCAGGTTCAATCCCCCTGCACAGCCACCGGCTAAGTCCGAGATGAGCATATGCAGCATTGCCCCACATCCTTGGCTTGGAAATGGCTGGCAGCAGCACAGGATTCCCTACCAGAGGATGTGGTGATGGCCACAGGCATGGATGGCTCTCAAAGGGGATGAGACAGATTCATGGAGGAGAGGTCTGTCAGTGGCTACTAGCCATGGGGACTAAAGGGAACCTCCACATTCAGAGGCAGTAAACCTAACCCTAACCCTCCAGAGGAACTGGTTGGCCACTGTGTGAGACAGGATGCTGGGCTGGATGGACTATCGGTCTGATCCAGCAGGGCTCTTCTTAGGTTCTTAGGAAGGCCGCAGCCTCTCCGCCTTGTTGTTGGCCCTCCAGAGGAACTGGTTAGCCACTGTATGAGACAAGATGCTGGACTAGATGGACCTCTGGTCTGATCCAGCAGGGCTCTTCTTAGGTTCTTAGGAAGGCCGCAGCCTCTCCGCCTTGTTGTTGGCCCTCCAGAGGAACTGGTTAGCCACTGTATGAGACAAGATGCTGGACTAGATGGACCTCTGGTCTGATCCAGCAGGGCTCTTCTGATGTTCTTGTGGGAGGAAGAAGCCATCGATAAACTGTGCTTCGGGGCGACAGAGAGGACTACTTCAAACCGTTCACAACCTGTCACAGGACTAGCTCAGCTTCCTCATACATCTTAAGGACAGAATGGCGTTTAAATTCACGGAGGGCAAATGTCTACAGGGTCAAAGAACGTTGCATACAGCAGGTCCAGTAGGATGGGTGAGGATAACACCCCATTTTGGGGGGGGGGTGATCATTGATAGGAAAGTTCCAAGCGTGACCTATATTTTAAAAAATCTGTGCTGGCAGAAAACATGGCAAGGGTCCGAGAAACCTCAAGGAAGATCAGAAAATGCCTATTTCATCCCCCCCCCCTTATTATTGCCTGCCTAAGTGTTTGATAACATAGGTCAAGCCGGGACAATTTGGTCAACTGTGAAACCACATGCAACACCCCAGAGATTACTACTTTTTCCGGTTTTTCTGAGGTTCTCGTAGCAACTGTGGCTGCATTTGACTGAATTGGGGGAGGACGCAGGACAGGTTGCGGCTGGGGAGCCACAAAGGAGAGGGGCCTGTTTTGCTGTTATGTACACGGACCGCCACCAGGGGTCCACGGTTAAAGCAGGAGCTTGGTCCCCAAACACAAAGGGGACCTCGGATCCTAGTCCACCGGGAGTACACCAATAGCACCCTTGGCGGGAGATTCAAATCCTCCAATGGGGACAGAGGTGTGCCGGGTGGAGTGTATATAATTGGCCTTGCGGGTCCATTTTGTGTGTCTTGTTGTGAAGTAGAAGACATCCAATAGTAAAGGTCAAGGTTTCCCTTGCTTGAAAGCCAGCCGAATCCGACTCTAGGGATGCGGTGCTCATCTCCGTTTCCAAGCCGAAGAGCCAGCGCTGTCCGAAGATGTCTCTGTGGTCATGTGGCCGGCATGACTAGATGCCGAGGCGCACGGAACGCTGTTACCTTCCCACCGAAGTGGTACCTATTTATCTACTTGCAATTTCGAACGACTAGGTTGGCAGGAGCTGGGGCCAGAGACGGGAGCTCACTCCGCCATGCGGCACCCGGGTCTCGAACTGCTAAACTACCGACCTTCCGGTCTGCAGCTCACCGTCTTAACCACATCCAATAGGCATGGCTGTTTCCATCCCTGGGATATGTGTCACCTGTTGGATTTTTCTCTTGCGGGCACACAAGCCCCTGCCCTCCTTGTTGGGGACGTTAAACTGGGAGCATGAGAGACCACAATGCGACGATGGTTGTCGTCCCAAAGAAAGAGAACACAATTCTGAGGAATTCCGAAGAAAACTTTTCTATGTGTGGGTCAAAAGAGACTTGAATGAAAGTCCCGCTGCTTTACACAGCCCAGACCAGGGAGGAGACAGGGCTATAATCCTTTCCACCCGCGTGTCCTCGACGTCAACCCTCTCCTCCGGTCCCATAGCTGCTATCTATGGGGAAACACCTAAGAACCCCTTTTGGCTGAATAATCTACTGTTAATGGTTAAATCCTGATCCTTTCCATCCCTGAGTGAGATTTTAAACAGGTTTTTGTTTTGTTTTTTTAATACACGGTAGGGTATAATTCCAGAGCAGCTATTTTCACCAGGAGAAGTGGCAGATGTAGAAGAAGAAGAAGAAGAAGAAGAAGAAGAAGAAGAAGAAGAAGAAGAAGAAGAAGAGATTGAATTTATACCCCATCCTTCACTACCCAAAGGAGTCTCAGAGCGGCTTACAATCTCCTTTCCCTTCCCCTCTCCACAACAGACACTTTGTGAGGTAAAAGAAGAAGAAGAAGAAGAAGAGAAGAGATTGGATTTATACCCTGCCCTTCACTACCCAAAGTAGTCTCAGAGCGGCTTACAATCTCCTTTCCCTCCCCCCCCCACAACAGACACCCTGTGAGGTAGGCGGGGCTGAGAGGGCGCTCAACAGAAACTGCTCTTTTTCAAGAGTCACAGCAGCAGCAGGTGCAAGTGGAGGAGTGGGGAATCAAACCTGGTTCTCCCAGATTAGAGTCTGCACACTTAACCACGACACCAAACTAGACAGACAGGCAGACAGACAGACAAGCAAACTACCTTGACTGGAGATCAGCTGTAATTCCGGGACCTCTCCAGTCCCGCCCGGAGGTCGGCCATCCTCATTTCGGGAGGCGAAGGGGGTGGAATGGATGCTTTGCTGAAACTTACTAGCCTCCTGTCTCCTTGGCTGCCTGACTCCCACCTGCCCGCCCCCTTTTTCTTCCTGCTCCTGTTGAGTATTTGCCAGGTCCTCCCCAGGCACCAGCAGGGGATGGGGGGGTCGGGTTGCCAGATCCAGGCTGGGAAACTCCTGGAGATTTGGGGGTGGAGCCTGGGGAGGACAGGGACGTCAGTGGGGTGCAGTGCCATACAACCTACCCTCCAAAGCATCCATTTCCTCCAGGGGGAGCTGTTCTCCATAGTCTGGACATGAGATGTAATTCCGGGGGATCCCCAGGTCCCACCTGGAGGCTGGCATCCCTAAGTATACAGTAAAAGGTAAAGGTAAAGGTTCCCTTGCTCGAAAGCCAGTCGAGTCCGACTCTAGGGTTGCGGTGCTCATCTCTGTTTCCAAGCCGAAGAGCCAGCGCTGTCCGAAGACGTTTCCGTGGTCATGTGGCCGGCATGACTAAACACCGAGGCGCACGGAACGCTGTTACCTTCCCACCGAAGTGGTACCTATTTATCTACTTGCAATTTTTTGCTTTTGAACTGCTAGGTAGGCAGGAGCTGGAACTAGAGACGGGAGCTCACTCTGTCATGCGGCAACTCGGGTCTCGAACGGCTGAACTACTGACCTTCCACAGCCTGCAGTTCACCGTCTTAATCACGACACCAAACCTTAAGTTGTATGAAAGAGAGACCCTCGCATCTCTGAAGTACATATACTTTTATTTAGTTACAGGTCGAAACGGAAAACTCCGGTAAAAAGCCGAGAAATTTTGGCGAAAGGCACGACACAAGTGTCTCGGGTGGACGTACGTGTTAAAACAGGGAAGCGTGGCGAACTGTTATACGGCCCGTCTTGTCGGGGGTCGATCGGCACCACGGGGCCTAGGAGGTGGCGTTGCCTGCAGGGAGTGGGCGGGGTGTTAATGGGCCAAAATGGCCGCCGAACGGAACGGGAGGGAGGCGTGTGTGGAAGGTCTGCTGGGCAGTGTGGGATTAGTACATTTAGTGACCACCTGTGCCTTTTCCACCAAGGAGCCTCAGCCCAGGAGGCCATCTTGGTTTCCCTAGAAACCAAGGGCGGCGGCGGTGTTCGCTTCCGGGCTATGCCGGCCACCTTTTAAGACTGCAGCTGCTTGAACTTGTCCACCAAGGTCTCGATCTGGGAGCGGAGGTCATTCAGCAAGGGGTCGAACCACTGGCGTACCTTGTCAGCCACTTGGTCAATATTGACCTTGACTTCCTCCGCTCTCCCCCGGAAGTGGTTGTGAAGCTCCTGGGCGCGGGCGCTGAGCTGTTCCCCGACCATCCTTCCTTGCTCTTCCACGGCCTGCTGCAGGGCCTGGAGACGCTGCTGCCCCTTCTCGCGGATGCTGGAAATGTACGGCGCCAGCTGCTGGCGCACGGCGTCGACTTTGTCGTCGGTGGTAGCCCGTACCTCCTCGGCGTAGGCGGCGAACTTGTTCCGCAAGGCCTCGGTGTCCTTGCCGATGCGTTTCCTCAGCTTGCGCAGGTACAGGTCGACCTGGGACCGAACCACTTCCACGTTGTGGTCGAACATGACGCGCGCGTCGTTGGTGTATTGGAGCACCTTGGTTTTGGTCTCTTCCATGTCAGTCCGCAGTTTCTCTGTCAGGGCCGACACTTCCGTATTCATGCGCTGCTGCACGTCCCGAGCGTATGGGCCGATCTTGTTACTGAGGTCTGTGGTGTAGTGCTCCAGTTCCCCCATGGTGTCTGTGATGAGGCCACTGTGGAAAAGAAGGGCGGGTGGGTGGAAACAGTGGGGAAGAATCGGGTGGTCAGAATCATCTTATCCATTGGACGAGGGGTCCGCATTCTTTTTGCACCTGCAGATACCTTTGGAATTCTGACTTGGCACCGTTGGCCGAGTCACAAAATGGCTGCCGCAGGAGGCAGAGCCAGCTACAAAATGGCTGCCACGCCTTGCTTCCTGTCACTAAAGATCCTTGTGCAGTAGTAGCAGCTGCTGCCAAAGCAACATACTTAAAAATCTGCGCCGCCAATCAGTTCTCTGATGGCCAATCAGAAGCCTTGCTGGGCAAAAGCCCCACTTGGCCCTGCCCACGTTCTAAAAACACTTGGCAGACTCCAGAAAAGGTGTCAGTGGGCGCCACATTGGGGAATCCTACATTAGACCCTCCCTCCCACCTGGGTTTTGGCCATTGTGTGACATAGTTGGACAGGATGGGCCATTGGCCTGATTCAACATGGCATCTCTTATGTTCTTACGTCCATTCTCATAATTACCCCCAAGACCTGATGATCAGACTACACCAGGGGTGAGTTTGGGCTCTCTCACACTGGGGTCACTGTATTGTCTGTCTCATCCCGCTCAGAGGTCAAGGGGAACATTACCACACATATAAAACAGATATGCAGTGAAATGTGTAGGAAAATACATTATCCGTCTCTGTCGAGTGAGCCACAGGTAGTTAACCACTAGATCAACTTCAAACAGGTCTGATTAATCATCTCCACAGCTAGTCTGTGGGCTTTACTCAGGGACAGCCCAATACACTGGGAGGTGGGCTAACCTGGGGAAAGGGAAATCCAAGCAGACCCTTGCAGTAACTAGGATTGCCAAACTCCAGGTGAGGCCTGGAGTTTTCCCAGAATTAGAACCGATCTCCAGGCATCAGAGAGCAGTCCCCCTGGAGGAAATGGCTGCTTTGGAGGGTGGACTCTATGGCATTATAACCCATTTTTAAAATCTCTCCTTATATATAATTGAATAGTGGGTGCCAAAGTTCTAAAATGCACTCCTTTAGTGTATGGACGCTTGAACTGTCAGTCAGAAGACGCTGGCTGGGTTGACTGGCTGCTTTGTGCAGTCCCGCCCAGTGTTTCAAGGTCTTTTGCATATGGAAGCTGATTGGACTTCACTGCATTCCGCACCTCAAACTCACCCCCCTCCCCGCAAGGCAGTTGGAATGTCAGTTGCATATGGAACCTTCAAGGTCTTTTGCATATGGAAGCTGATTGGACTTCACTCAATTCCACACCTCATACTCCCCCCCCCCGCAAGGCAGTTGGAATGTCTGGTGGTGTGTAGGTCCCAGGATCATGTTTTAAAAGCGCAGTTCCACAGGGCCTGTAAGACGGAGCTCTTCCGCCAGGCATTTAAATAGGGGCCGCCGCTACTGCAGGCCGTTACTGCAGGCCCCTACTGCAGGCCGTTACTGCAGAGCTTGGTCTGTGGTTTTAACATCTGATTTTAACATCTGATTATGAGCAGAAATATCGTGGTACATCTGGGCAGTGGAAATTTGTTCTAGCAATATACCGTCTAGGTTAATTTAACAGCCGCCAGCACTTTGTATTTATAATGTTTTTATTGTATGGTTAAATATTGTGAAATTTTAATGTAGTTATGTTTTTATGGAAGCCGCCCTGAGCCCGCTTGCGGGGAGGGCGGGGTATAAATTTGATAAATAATATATAAATAAAATATTGTAATTGTTCTCTAATGAAGTCCTGCCCCTCCCCAAACCTCTTCCTCACCAAGTTCCACCTCCAAAACCTCCAGGTATTTCCCAATCCAGAGTTGGCGATTCTACCAGCAACTGATAACACACTTAAATCGTGCTGCCTCGATATCTGAGGTACTATCATCTCACACTTCCACAGGACCAAGCCGTACTTGGCTCTATCTTTTTGTATCCCTCAGGCAACACCTTCTGTCTTTCGTGTTCTCCTCTGAATCCCACAGAAAACCTGGATGTATTCTGAACTAGCTACTAATACCTCATAATGTTTGTGAAGGATTATAACCGTCAGGGTTTTTTTTTTTCTGGCGGAACGTGCCGGAACAGAGTTTCGGGACCTCTTTGTGGAAAGAAAATTCTCGAAAAATGTTTAAAAGCCCTGATCACGGTACAGTTCCAAAGGAGAGTTGCATACTTTTAAACCTTGGATTTCAAGGGCTCTAGAAGGGTGTAACTTTGTGTAGGACTTCACAGTTGCAGTGCGGTCCTAAGAACACTTCCCTGGGCATAAGCCCCATTGAGCAGGATTCCGAGTAGGGAACAATCTTCATCAGGTCTACTCACAAATCAGGCTCCCTCTAAGCTGTGGAGTCTTATGAGCAAAAATTCTACTTTGCGAGCTGCTGGCACTAAAGTCGTGAGTGAGCCATTTGGCTCCTGCATCAATGAGTTTGCTCTGGAGCCCTCCTTCCCGAGCTGAGACAAAAATGGGTGAGCCGGAAGCTGAAAAGCTGTGAGCTAGCTCGCACTAACTCAGCATAGAGGGAACTCTGCTCACAAGTCAGTCCTGTTGTATTCACTGGGGCTTATTACCAGAAAAGTGTTCTTAGGGCTACCGCTCACATCCGCTAAACTACTCAGCAAGATAAAATGGTCGAATAATCCTTTCTAATGTTAAATTCTCTTTGTGGGGTTGTCATCTTCAAGGCGGAGATCTCCTGGAATTACCAGCGATCTCCAGAGATGTAAAATTTCCGGAAATTTTGAAGCTCGGGAAAAAACCCCAGGTTTTTTCGGGGGGAAACGGAAATTTTCGGAAAAATTGGGGGGGGGGGAACAGCTTCATTAGCATTTCTTTTTTTTTTCTAGATTGAAAGTCATTCTGTTACTTTAGGAACATAAAATATGACTATGGACATTTTTACTTGGCATGAAATTATCACAACTAGCCTATTAAAAATATAGTGTATCCAAACAATTATTACAAACAGAATACCCACCCACATGTAAAAACAAAACTGAAACTTTTTTTATTTTCTTCTGCCAATTGCACCTCCTAAAGGAAGAAATGCATCTTGTTCTTGCATTGGAGAGTTCAGTTGGTAACCTAGGACTTGCTTGTCCTCAGTGCACAGAAATTAGATCAACCTGATACCATATATATATATATTAGAAATGATTTGAAAAATATTTGAACACCTTGTCTTAAAATATTTTATTCATCATGTTAAAATAAAACGTTCCATAATCAATTTCTTTTCTTTTTTCAATGTTTCCAATTTTCGGGAAAAAAACAAAAAAGCTTCAGGAAAATAACGGGAAAAAAATGGGTTTCTTCCCGAATTTTTCCGGTTTTTTCCCGGGCCTTCACATCTCTACTCCAGACAAAAGAGGTCCGTTCCCCTGGAGAAAATGGTTTTAGATGGTGGACGTGTCGTTAGAAGAGTTAGTTCCGAGTCCTTTTACCACCTTAGAGACCAACCACATCTTCAGGGTCAAAGTTCCCTTCATCGAGACACCTGACGAAGGGAACTTTGAATCTCGGAAGCTTATACTAGGGCTGCTACCTCCTGGTTGGGATTTTCCTGGAGATTTTGGGGGTGGAGCCTGAGGAGGTCGGGGCTTGGGGGAGGGAGGGACTTCAGTGGGGTAGGTTGCCATTCGGTCCGCCTTCCAAAGCAGCCGTTTTCTCCAGGCAAACGGATCTCTGTCGCCTGGAAATCAGTTGTCACCCCAGGCAAGGTTCCCTTCTAAGCTGTGGAGTCCTGTGAGCAAAAATTCTACTTTGTGAGCTGCTGGCATTAAAGCTGTGAGTGAGCGATTTGGCCGCTGCGTAAGTTAGTTTGCTCTGGAGCCCTCCTTCCTGAGCTAAGGCAGAAATGTGTGAGCCGGAGGCTAAACAACGGTGACCCGGCTCGCACTGACTCAGCTTAGAGGGAACGCTGGATTCCCAGGAGATCTCCAGCCACCAGCTGGAGGATGGCAACTCTGTCTTATACACCCTCCAAATCTTGTTAATCCCTAAGGTGCTATTGGACTTGGATCTACTTAGAGAAAAATGGCTGCTTTGGAGGGTCGACTCAACGGCATTATACCCCACTGAGATCCCATCCCGAGCACACCCGAATCTCGAGGAAGTTCCCACGCCGAAGTTGGAAAGCTCAGTGGGCAAGCTGAGCCATTCCTCATTCTTCCCCCACCTCCGCAGTGATATTCATGTGTCTTCTTCTCCCAGCCTAGGGTTGCCAAACTCCAGGTGGTAAGCAATGTTCCCTCTAAGCTGAGTTAGTGTGAGCCAGCTCACAGATTTTTAGCCTCCGGCTCACTCATCTTTGTCTCAGCTCAGGAAGGAGGGCTCCAGAGTGAACTAATTGATGCAGCAGCCCAATCGCTCGCTCACAACTTTAATGCCAGGAGCTCACAAAGTAGAATTTTTGCTCACAAGGCTCCACAGCTTAGAGGGAACATTGGTGGTAAGTAACCAAAAACCAACCGTGATATTATTATATAATCTATTCAATCGTTATTATTAAGCATTTATGTCATGGTACACATTACAGAAGAAGAGGAAAAAGAGGCAGAAGAGGAAGAGGAAGAAGAAGAAGAAGAGATTGGATTTATACCCCGCCCTTCACTTGGAGTCTCAGAGCGGCTCACAAGCTCCTTTCCCTTCCCCTCCCCACAACAGACACCCTGTGAGGTAGGCGGGGCTGAGAGAGCTCTTGAGAGAACTGTCCTTGAGAGAACAGCTGTGCCAGAACTACGGCTTGCCCAAGGTCATCCAGCAGCTGGAAGTGGAGGAGTGGGGAATCAAACCCGGCTCTCCCAGATTAGAGTCCGCACACTTAACCGCTACACCAAACTGGCTCCCATTCCAATACGAAATGTACACATATTGAAAAGCGTCCTTGTAAACGGAACTGTCCGTGCTCAAAGCACAGTGTGGTTTACATCATAATATCACGGTTGGGTTTTTTTTTGTTTACTTACAACCTATCCCGTGATCTCAGGTTTGTATAACCTACGGGGAGTGGCTGGAGACCTCCTGGGACTACGACTGACCTCCCGGCGACAGGGATCAGTCCCCCTGGAGAAAATGGCTGCCTTGGAGGTGAATTCTGTGGCAGTGTACCCCACTGAAGTCCTTCCCCTCCCCAAACCCCGCCCTCCTCAAGCCCCAAATCTCCAGGTATTTCCCAACTAGAGATTTGGAGGATAGAGCCAGGGGAGGCCCAATGCCGTAGAGGCCACCGTCCAAAGCATCCATTTTTTCTCCAGGGAAACTTACCTCTGTAGTCTGGGGGTGAGCTGTAGTTCCGGCGGATCCCCAGGTCCAGGGGTCATTTCCTGCAGGAGCCCATGGGAGCGGAGCTCCGGCAGTAAAGAGCCCAGGGGGCGGGCACATGCAACAAGCCCCACCCCCTGATCCCAGCAGCCCTCAGTCAGAGCAAGAAGCCGCCAGGTAAGTTGCAGAGGCCCCCCCTCCCCGGCCCCCTGGTCTAAAACAGTCCAGTGGCACCTTTAAGACCAAGTTTTATTCAGGTACAAGCTCTCCCTCCTCTGCAAGGACAGAGATGCACGCCCCCCCCCCCAATAGCTAGCAATCCAAAACAGTCCAGTGGAGCCTGTTGCCTTCTGACACACTTCCGGTGATGTCAGGGTGTGTGGCATATGCAAATGAGTTATGCTAATGAGTTCTGCTAATGAGCTCCTGCACCTCTTTTTCGACAAAATGACCCCTGCCCTGGAGGCTGGCATCCCTCGGAGGAACAGTAGTGCTTCTTCAGCAGCGATTTCTAAGGGCTCTAATAGACTAGGGTGGGTTGGCTTTTAAGGCTGCTGAGAGAATTGCTGGTGCGCTGAAAATCTGGGGGGTGGGGTGCTACCACGCTGGCCATGAGCAAGGAATCGACCTCGCCCAGTGCCGGGTGGAATTGAGCCGCCTCCGCAAGCTGGCAGCCCTGCTGTTCTCTCAAGGGCAGTTCTCGAGAGAGCTCTCTCAGCCCCACCGACCTCACAGGGTGTCTGCTATGGAGAGGGGAAAGGAGAGGAGATTGTGAGCCGCTCCGAGACTCCTTCCAATTCAATCTCCTCCCTTCTTCGGCTTACAGTCCCCTGCTGTCAACCCTGCTCCGTTCACAGCCAAAAACCTCCCCTGCCCCCTCACTGTTTCAGAGGAAGACTCACTCCAGTTCCTTGCTGATCTGCGAAGCCTTAATCTGGGTGGTGACCTCATCGGCGGAATTCCCGACCTTGGTGACGTACTCCCAGAAGCCTTCCACGGCCCGCTCCCAGTTGGATTTTAGCTCCTCTTGCACAAGAGGGTTGGCCCAGGAGCCTGCGTGGATGAAGAAAGGGAAGAGAACAACTTTGAAATACCAAGGCCGGATCACCCAAGGCCACCGATCTTGTATGGCGCCACCACCAAATGACCAACTATTAAGTTCTCAGAAGCCATGTTGCTTACCTCCAAATGACCAACTATTAAGTTCTCAGAAGCCATGTTGCTTACCTCAGTGAGGGTCGTGGGCAAACGGGCCTACGTTCAAGATAGGAAGAGCAGCGGAACTCTTCTCTTATTACCTGCTGCAGACACATCACAGGCCACAGTGCCTAATGTATGGGAAAGGCTCTGTTTGTGGTGCATCGTGGAAACGAGGGGAGTTTTGGAGAGCCCTTTGCCTATATCTCGGCACACCTGGCTGGCCACATTTGGCTACTGGATACTGGGACACAGAAGAGCTTCCCTCATAAGTACAGAACTAGATAAGAGTTACCTGGCTGGATCTTACAGGTGCTTTACCCAGCAATTGGTTTCCAAAAGTGGCCAGCCGGCTGAGCCAAAACACAGGCAAAGGGCTCTTTAGCTCCCTCCTTCCCAGGGTGAATAGCAACTGCAGGCACAACTACAGCTGAGGTAGATAAAAAAGGGAAGGGTTCTATTGCTATTTATCCTGAAAAGTGAGGAGAATCTATGAGCCCTTTGCCTCTGCCTTGGCTCGCCAAAGGGCTCTTTAGCTCCCTCCTTCCCAGTATGAACAGCAGCCCCAAAACATTTCCATTATGAAAGGCACAACTATGGCTGAAGTGGATGAAAAGGGAAAAGGTTCTGGCACTGTTTATACTGAAAAGCGAGGGGGATTCATGAGCCCTTTGCCTCTGCCTTGGCTCATGTAACTGATCACAGCTGGAAACAGATGTTGGGGTATGACATTGATTTGATCTAACCAGGTAATTCTTACCAAGGTCTTGCCTTAAGGAAGGCCATGTCTATTGCAGTGTTCTTTTTCCAATAGTGGCCGGCGAAATGTGTGAAGATATAGGCAAAGGCCTCTTTCACCCTTGCCCCCCCACTTCCCAGTTTGCGAAAGAAACACAGCCCTTCTCTTTGTATCAACAGCAGCCACAGATGTGTCTATAGTCTGCAATAAGAGAGGGCACTATTTCTGTTCGTACTGGGAAGGAGGGAGTTAAAGAGTCATTTTCCTCTGCCTTGGCTGATCTAGCTGGCCAGTGCTGGAAATAGAAACACAGCCATTCTCTTATCCACACAATAGCCACAGATGTGCCTGTAGTCCGCGATAAGGAAGGTGCTGATGCTGTTCATATCGGGAAGGGAAGGGAAGGGTTAAAGAGTCCTTTGTCTCTGTCTTGCCTCATCCGGCTGGCCACTAGATAAGGCACTGGTCTGATCCAATCAGGGAATTCTAATCTAGGCCTCACCTTACCAAATAAGTTGTTATCTGCTCCAGCATTCTCTTTCTAAGGGGGGGGGGCAGAGAGAGATATATCAGCAAAGGGCTCTCCAACTTCCCCCAACCCCGCTTTCCCGTTGTGCAACAAACTCAGAGCCATTCCCTTCTATCGTGAATCTCAGCCCATATATGTATATGATGGGTGAGCTCGTTTATGGTGCGCTCTTAGAATGGAAGAAAGAGCCCTTTGTCTGCATATTGGACAGCCAGTGTGGTGCCATGGTTAAAGTGGAGGAGGGCAGGGAGCTAATAAAATAATAGCAATATCCCTGTTGGCAGCAGATGATAGGACTCGCAATAATGGGTTTAAATTAAGGGCAGGAAGGTACTTGCTGGATATTAGGGAAAACGTCTTTGACAGTCAGGGCAAGGCTCCCTCCGAGCTGTGGAGTCTTGCGAGCAAAACGTCGACTAGGTGAGCTGCTGGCATTCAAGTTGCGAGCGAGCCATTTGGCTACTGCATCAGTTAGTTGGCTCTGGAGCCGTCCTTCCCGAGCGGAGATAAAACTGTGCGAGCCGGAGGCTAAAAAAACTGTGAGCCGGCTCACGCTAACTCAGTTTAGAGGGAACACAGAGTTCTGCAACAGTGGAATCGGCTGCTTCGGAGGTGGTGAGCTCCCCCTCCCTGGCAGTCTTGAAGCAGCGGCTGGACAAACCCTCATCAGGGATGCTCTAGGCCAGTGATGGCGAACCTTTTAGAGCCCGCGTGCCCAAACTGCGACCCGAAACCCACTTATTTATCGCAAAGTGCCAACACGGCCATTTAACCTGAACACTGAGGTTTTACTTAAGAAAAAAACACTCATAAATTAACTTAAGATGATCCAAACAAAGTAAGGAAAGCAATCCCAAATGCTTTCATTTACTTAAAATTATTTGGCAGAGAATTCGACAGTGTAATGATGGTCTGGGCCTGGCTGGGGCGATGGCACGCGTGCCCACAGAGAGGGCTCTGAGTGCCACCTCTGGCCCCCGTGCCATAGGTTCGCCACCCCTGCTCTAGGCTGATCCTGCATTGAGCAGGAGGTTGGACTCAATGACCCGTAGGGCCCCTTCCAACTCTATGATTCTGTATTTTGGCCACCTAGAGAGGCAGTGAGCTCCCCCTCACTGGCCGTCTTTAAGCGGCCGAAGCAACCCGAGCTGCAGTGTTAGGAGAGTCTAGTAACAAATAAATACACACGGCCAAAACCTTTTAACAAACGAATGTGTCAACACTATGCAGCTTTGAGAATGACAGGAGTACTCCGTCCACGAATGTTAGCTGCCGACCGCTCATCAACTTTATTGCTCAGCAATTTCATGGAGTGCCCACGGGTTCTTGTATTGTGAGAAAGGGAGAAAAGTACCTCTTTCTCTACCTGCTCTTTCCCATGCATAATCTTATAAACCTCAATCATGTCACCCCTCAGTCGTCGTTTCTCCAAGCTAAAGAGCCCTAAGCGCCTTAACCTTTCCTCATAGGGAAAGTGTTCCAACCCTTTTATCATTCGAGTTGCCCTTTTCTGCACTTTTCCCAAAGCTATAATATCCTTTTTAAGGTGTGGTGACCAGAACTGCACACAGTATTCCAAATGAGATTGCACCATTGATTTATATAGGAGCAGTGAATTCCATGTGTTAATTACTCTTTGGGTGAAGAAGGACTTCCTTTTATCCGTTCTAACCCGACCGCTCAGCAGTTTCATGGAGTGCCCACGAGTTCTTGTATTGTGAGAAAGGGAGAAAAGTACCTCTTTCTCTACCTGCTCTTTCCCATGCATAATCTTGTAAACCTCAATCATGTCACCCCTCACACCTCATTCAACTTATGAATTGTGTCTTTTAAATAGTCTTTTGTAGGACCGGCAAAAAGCATCCATACAACTGTTAGGAAGGCTGTCCCCCCTTTCTGGAAGACTTCATGCAAGGAGAAGCAGGTTTATAATTCTAGAGACTCCCGTTGGGGTGTGACTTTTGAAACACTGATGCAAATTTGTCTGGTAGTTAGCAATCTGCATGTACTGAATGTTATTGCTTATTGAATGTAATGAATATTTATACCTGACTAGGATGAAATAACGATACACTATGCACTTTACTAAATGATGACTATAAATGGAACGTCTTTAAGCAGCGGCTGAAGAAACACTTGTCAGGGAATTCTCTAGGCAGATCCTGCCTTAAGCAGGGGGTTGGACTAGACAACCTGTGAGGGCCCTTCCCACTCTATAGTTCTTCGGCTCCTAGGGAGGCGGTGGGCTCCCCCTCCCTGGCAGTCTTGAAGCAGCGGCTGGACAAACCCTTGTCAGGGATGCTCTAGGCCGATCCCGCATTGAGCAGGGGGTGGACTAGCTGGCCTATCGGGCCCCTTCCAACTCTGCGATTCCATGATTCTACTAGGATCTGAGAAACCCAGGTTCGAATCCCCCCCCCCCTGTGCCCTGGAAGCTCGCCGGGTGGTCTTGGCCCCGGTCACACACTCTCAGCCTAATCTACCTCACAGGGTCGTTGTGAGGAGAAGGGGAGGACTACATAGGCCGCTCCGGGTTCGCACTGGAGAGAAAGGCGGGATGTAAATTAGGTAAATAAACTATTTCACTGGCTGCTGTGGACTAGCAGCCAGCGGATCCAGCAGGGCAGTTCTTTCACTGTTATCTGCCTGGCCCCGTTCACCCTTTCCACGTTTCACTAGATGACTTCATGAATCCGCCGGGTCAGGCCAAAGGTCCATCTCATCTAGCCTTCCTTCTGTTTCTGCCGGAGATGAGCAAGACGGGGAACTAGGCGTCTGGCTGGCTTCCACAGTGGAAGCCTGCCAGATTTCTAGTTCCCCCCGTCTCGCTCGCCTCCAGCAGACGCATACTGCCTCTGTCTACAGAAGAACAGATTCAGAGTCCAGTGGCACCTTTAAGGTTTATTCAAGGTATGAGCTTTTGTGTGCATGCACATTGGAATTTGAAAGAGTGCGCAGGCACACAAAAGCTCATACCTTGAATAAACCTTAGTTGGCCTTAAAGGTTGGACTCTGAATGTGTTCTGCTGTTTCAACTGACCAACTGGATCTGTGTACAGAAGCTACTGTGGCTAGTAACCCTTGATGGACGACCTCGCCTTGGAAGACGGGAGTCTAGTGCAACAGTTTTGGGGGAATTGCGCTAAGAAGGGGAGCAGGGTATGGCCCATCGGATGTCTCTTTTGCAGTTCTCGGCTATACTTTGGGGACCGCTTTCCATTCAATCGACTCACCTCCCAGGAGCGCGGCCGCAAAAATCAGGATCAAGGACTTCATGGTGACCAAGCGGCTCCTTCAGGAAAAGAGAAACAAAGAAAAACGATGGAAGCATTGAGAGCGGGTCAAGTTTGGAGGGGAAGTCTCTCTCTCCTGGCAGGAGACTCGCTCACTTCTATGAAAGACAGGGAGAGTCAAATACTAGCTCTGCTGAAACAGTTCCCTTTGTTTGGGGTGGAGCTACCCGGTTTTCCCCCAGGCCACCAGCAGAGGACGGGGGTCAGGTTGCCAGCTCCAGGTTGGGAAATTCCTGGAGATTTGAGGATGGAGCCGGGGGAGGCCAGGGACCTCGGTGGGGCGCAGTGCCAGAGAGTCCACCAAATCATCCCTTTTCTCCAGGAGAACTGATCTCTGTAGTCTGGAGATGCGCTGGAATTCCGTGGGATCCCCAGCAGCGTTCCCTCTAAGCTGGCTCGCTCAGAGCTTTAATGCCAGGAGCTCACAAAGTAGAATTTTTGCTCACAAGACTCCACAGCTTAGAGGGAGCATTCCCCAGGTCCCACCTGGAGACTGGCATCCCTAGTTTGGACTGTGCCCGGAGGTAATTTCCTCCCCCCCCCACAAACTCTGTGCCACTTAAAAAAAACAACAACACCAGCCTAAATCACAATTTTTTAACGCTAGATTTCTTAACCAACACCCTCCCCGCTTGCTTCCGCTGGCCCCAGTTCCTAGCTTATGCCAGATCTGGTTGCCAACTGAGGCCAAAGAGAAAGTCCAGGACTCTGTCCTCATACCTTCTCTTCCGCTGGACTCCAGGAACTGTCGGACAGCCAACCCCTCTTTCCAGAGACTTAAATACTCAGCTCAGCTGGTAGGAAGGGAGCTGGGGGGGGGAGGAGGAGGAGGAGGAGGAGGGGCCGGCGAAGTCAGCAGCTATGGTAAAACTGCAGATTCTGCCAAGGTGGCCTGGTGGACAAAGTTTAATTCCCCCCCTACACACACACACACACACACAGTACACAACATTCTCCCAGGGAAAGTCTTAACCCCAACCGCACCAGAAGAGGGAGGGGACTGTGACTAATTAAACACGCGATTCTGCAGGAGAAACTTCTGGAGGATGTGTGTGTGTGTGTGTGTGTGTGTGTGTGAACCGAAAGCTTGCCAGATTCTCTGGGAGATTTGGGGGTGGAGCTTGGGGAGGACAGGGACCCCAGTGGGGCGCAGTGCCATAGAGTCCTCCCTACAGAGCAGCTGTTTTCTCCAGGGGGAGCTGATCTCTGTAGTCTGGAAATCAATTGTAATTGCAGGAGGAGGAGGAGGAGGAGGAGAGATTGGCTTTCCCCCGTCCTTCACTACAAGAAGAAGAAGAAGAAGAAGAAGAAGAAGAAGAAGAAGAAGAAGAAGAAGAAGAAGAAGAACAGGAGGAGGAGGAGGAGGAGGAGGAGGAGATTGGATTTCCCCCGTCCTTCACTACAAGAAGAAGAAGAAGAAGAAGAAGAAGAAGGAGAAGGAGAAGAAGA